CTTAGATTAGGACAACAACACAGCATTTTATGGTGGCAGTGGTGGTGAGCTTGTTTGTAATTTGTCCAATTATGGTAACTTTTAGGTTGGTGGTCACAGACGTCATCCTTCAAGCCTTGAAATTACTATAAAACCAATAGTATTAATAAAATTGAGGAAAAACAGGGCCCCTGAATAATTAGATGCTTAGATAATTGTCTAAAATTTTCATAATTGTGGTGAGAAAGTGCTGTTAGAAGCATTTAAACATTTAATGTGGGGAAAGTTGCTTGAATTTATATTGGGATTTTTCAGCACCATCCATTGTTTAAAAATTGTATATCATGAGTCATTTTAAAGAGAAATAGTAAGGAAACTATCTTTTCAAGATAGAAAGCTTAGTTATTAATCTTATAAAAGTTTAAAAGCTTGAAGTATAAGAGGTTGAAAGCATTAATGCTTAGGTTTCGAAGTTTTGGTAATAATTTTAGATGCCTTTCAAAGTATGTGGATTGTCTTTTAAACATTACACTGAACAAGCCTTGATCATGATGTAGAATTTGTGCTAAGGTTCAGTATCCAGAGGTGATGGTAGTGGATATTTTATAATGTGGAAGACAAGACATTTTTATTTAATTAAGAAATCTAGAAACCAGATAAGCAAAACTAGAAAAAAAATCGCCTGTAATTCTACCACTCAGAACACACCACTATCCAAATTTTGGTATATGTATTGTTAACTGGTCATGTTTTTTCTTTTATATTTATGTAGATTCCCTCACTCTTAAAAAAGTCAGTTTATTTTATAATCTGATTTTTTTTTGCTCAATAACATTGTAGACCTTTGTAGTAACCATTACTCTACAATGTCTTCAATTATTGTGTGCTGTCTTATTACATGACTTGAGCATTGAGTCAGTCATGTCCCTACTATCAGTGGTTTCTGGTTTTTTTTTTCCTGTTTTAAATAATGCTTTAAACATTACTAGATTGAGCTAAATCCTCATGTATATAGGTAATAGCCTTTGAAAATTTCCTAGTAGTGGTAACTTTCCTTTCTTATTGATGAATTGGTTTTTGGAGGTGTTGTAACACATTATATTGTGTAGGAACTTTTTTTTCCCCCTTTCAGGTAACAGCTTTTATTGATCAGATTGGCAATAATGTTAATAGGTGTCAAGTGAAATGGGCATTCTCATAGTCAAGGCAAAAGTGTAAATATCTGTGGCTCTCTAGAAAACAGTTTGGTTTCTTTTAACCCTGTCCATTTAGCAAGATAAATGCTGACTACCCCTGTTGGCCGGCATTGACCTTGTGATGCTGGATCTCTGAGAAAGAGGGCTCTAGTCCCAGAGAAGACCCAGATTCGCCTAGTTTAGCTCATCTGACAGCTAATCAGGAATAGGATAGGCTGGTAGAGACCAGTGATCATGTTTTGGGTCAAGAGAGGAAGGTAGGAAGATGGAAAGGAGATAGGAAAAGTATCCTCAGTGGAACCACATTAATACAGAATGGTAAAAGGATGTTCCTTCCAAGGAAGAAATTCTGAAAGTGAAGGGAGAACAGGTTGGCGGATGGGGACAGGCAGCAGTTTTAATGAAACTAGTGGCACAATTTTACATTTTTGGGGGGTTAAACTCTTTGATATCTGGTCTGTCACTTGCTTCTGCATTCAGTCTATGGTGGTATGTTGTTGTGGTTGAAATAATAAGAAAATCCAGCCTCACACAGATACTTGATTGGAAAAAGAAATATTTTAATAGCCATTTTAGATAGCTGTTGACATTCTTTTTGGATACTGTACCCAAACTTAGTTTTTCTTGGATTTTGACTGGATCTTTCACCCTTGCATGATATGACGTCGTGTGTTATTATTTGGAAAATATTAGTTTGCTGGAATCTTATAAATGTTAATACATTTCATTATATAACATAACATATCCATTAATATCACCATCACCCTCATCAAAATACTCTTGGGAAGCTGTCAGGCTCACATGGTGGAAACAGGCTTTGCAAACTGCTAATTTTTGCTTAAAAGCTTGAATTTTATTACTGGCAATAAATACTGCCTTGGGTTTTCCTTGAAATGACAGGTTCTCTTCATTCTTTTTTTGAAAATATATCTATCAGAAACTCAAGTTGAAATAACCATTGTTTGTCAGTCATTCTTTCAAGTGAAAATGGTGTCCTGTGAAAGTGGTTAGTTCAGCTCACAATTCAAGCACACAAGTGCACTCTCATGTATACTGTAGGAGTGCTCATGTGTGCCCATTTCATCACTTGCAACATTAAAAAGACATAAGGATTGAGATTTAGTAAAATAACTGCCTCATCACAGACATTGTAAGTGAAATGCCTTTTTCTTCTTTGAAACACCTTTAATGCATAGTGGTGAATACCAGTGCTTCAAGTACAGTTTGATGTCACTGCCTTTATCTGTGCTAAGGTACCCACCATTGTATTGGCACCATTGGTAAGAATGTTAAATGGGCAAAAGGCAATTAACATCTTAGTATTCCTGTAGAAGTAGTTTGGGCCTTGGAGTCCAAGGGCCCCACTTAGAGAACTGTTAACATAGTTGCTTAGACCTACTATATATTCTGTCTTCTTTTGTCTAGGATTAGAAAAATATGGCATAGGTAGTAACTGATCTCAGCATTTTTTTTCTTTTTTGTTTTTTTTGTAATTTTCATAATATAGTTTTGAGGAGTTTTAGCCCAGAGCACCAATTCATATATTTTCTTTTGCTTATGCAGAACTTTAATCAATGCAATGAAGCGTAAAATGTAGGGTTTTTTTTTTCTTTTTTTAAGACTAAAGCAAATACAAATCTAAAACAAAATGGTTTAGATAGTGTATTCTTCAGACTAGGCTGAAGACTGAAGAAAATGTAATATTCAGTAAGTAATTCTCACTAAAAATGGGATTAATTTTGAAGACCATCTACGCTTTAGCCTTAAAGAGGTTTGGAACACAGTAAGAGTTTGAGGGATGAAGATACAGAAATAAACCATTGCTGAATGGATATAATGATGTTCTACTTCAGTTTTTTTCCTTTAAAGAACATTTGGTAAAATGCTTTAAAAATATTCAGATTCTGTGACTCCAACTATATTATAATTGAGATTGTAATTCTCAAAGCAGTGCTTCTTTAAAACTATGTAACATTGCCATGTTTCTGTGACTAGATCCTAACCACAGCTAATACTAATTATAATGGCTTTCCCTGGTATGTAACAAACAGTACAAATGAACAGAGTAAATGTTAGTAGGTGGGAATGTGTAATGCTTAATTCGTTAACTTTAAAAATCTACACGTAATTGTGCTTTAAAAAAGTGTATAGATAGTAATTGCATTTCTTGGTAGTATTCAGTTTGTGTGATGTAATAAAATATTGGAATTTTATGGTGTTTGAATTATTTATTGCTCTGTAACTAGTTTAGCAGCTTAAAACAGACATTATCTCACTATCTCTCATTATCTCATTTTGATTACGGGTCAGAAATCTGTGTGTGACTTACCTGGGTTCCTTGGCTCAGAGTCCCTGACCAGGCATTCAAGGTGTTGGCTGAGGCTGTAGTCATCTCAAGGCAGGACAGGACAGTCCTCTCCACCTCCAGATTCATTCATGCACTTGTTGGTAGGATTCATCTCCTCAAATGCTGTTGGTCTGAGGGCCTCAGATTCTAGTTGGCACTTGGTCAGAGGCCTCTTCAATCCCTTGCCCAGTGGGTTTGGACCTGTCCGTAGGAAACTGTTTTCCATTCGGGGAACAAATGAAAGAGCAGGGGAGGGTAAGCAAGACAGAACTTCCCATCTTTTTGTAACCTAATTTCAGAGGTGACATCTATTTATTCTGCTTGTTACAAGTGAGTCTAGAGGAGGGAATTATACAAGGGGGTGAATACCAGGAGGTTAGAATTATTGGGGCCATTTTAGAGGCAGCTTATTACAGTGTTCAGGAACACAACTGACCTCGATGAGTGGGAGCCCACAGACAGTCGATGTACAAGGAGAATGCCTGTCTCAGAGTCCAGCTCCCGTGGCAAGTGAGCACTGAAGGTAGCCCTAAGATAGCTGTGTTGCTGTTTGTTCTGCCTTTCTAACACTTGCTATATTTAAGAAGTAATCTTAGCCTCATTTAAGAAATCTGTCCTTTAGAAACTACATTCTTGTTTGCAGTCTAAGAAAGGAAGGGAAATTAATTAGGAAAAAGGTGAAAATTAAATGGGATTGCTTTTAGGGGCCAGTTTTCTAATGGAGAAAAAAATCTCAAAGTAACTTCTGTAATTACACTACTGAGAAGATAAGGCATACAGTGAGTGGATTTAAAAAATTAGTTTTAGTATTTGTAAGTATTTAAAAACATGTGCCGAGATATGTATTCCTTTACTTTGTTTAAAAAATTGAGTTACATCTCATCTAGATAAAGCCTAGAAATGTAGCTTTATTATACTGAAAGGCAAAAAGTAGTAAGGTTTAACTCTATAGACTACTTCAAAGTTGGAAGTTTTTGTTTTTGCTTTTAATTTTTTTCTGTTTCTTGAAGGATTTATTATGATTCTAGATTTTAAAGCCCTTAAAAAATATTAAAGCTGGCAAATCCATGCCATGATAGACCTTTCTTTGTAAAGGAAAGAAACCCATCCTCTTTGGTGCTTGCATAACATTTTTTTCTGCTTTTGATGGAACAGCTTTTGCAGTATATTCTCTTCTGTTTAAATCAGACTGCAAGTCCTTTTTTTAAGGCTTATAAATCATATAACATGAAGCAGGCAAGATTAAACTATAGAGCTTAATAATTTTTGTTTAAAAAATTAAAAACATGGATTTTTAATGAATTTAAAGACATGGATTTTATTTATTTTTTTAGACATGGATTTTAATGTGTTACTTTTCTTTCTGTGTTATGTTTTACTTAAATTTGTGATCATCTTGCCATTTAGTAGTGGGGTTTAATTGCATATCCAGGTTAGCCTGTGTGTAAATGTGTTTAACATCAGTGTCTCCGTAACAGGAATCTTATCCATCTTCTTCACCAATATGGTTTGTGGACTCTGATGATCCAAATCTGACTTCAGTTCTGGAACGTCTCGAAGACACTAAGAACAACAATTCGGTGAGAAAATAAACCACACTACTTTTTTTTTCTCATGAACGTAACAGAATTCAAGTGTTACGAGGTAATATGATACAAAAGCTTCATTAATGATTATTTTATAACCTAGTCTTTAGCTCCTCTAAGGTTTTTTTTTGTCCTTCAAATTTTGTTTAGTACTTGGTTTCTCATTTTTATTCCCCGTAACTATAGTCTTAGTTTAGCTCAGGAATTAGGTTGTCTCTTTACCATGAATCCTAATCATAAATTAAGTAAGCATTTTTGATTGGGTCCACTATCCAAGGTAGGAAATAGAAAAAGGGAAAAAGAATGAGGTAGAAGTGAGGGGGAAATAATGATAGAATGACCCCAATTGATGTTTCTGTCAAGAGTCTATATAACTCTGCAGTAAAAACCAAATGAATATAAATAAAAAATTTTATTTTTTAATTTTTAATTTTATTTTTAAATTTATTATTGTTTAATATATAAAGAAATCAAATTTCTTTGATTATAAACTATTAAGTGACCCTTGTGAAAGAACTAGTTAAATTAAAAACAATAAAAGGAAAATAGAAATCACCCTAATTTTTCTCTACCTGATATAAACATTGTTAACATGATGGCAATTTTTTTTTAATCAGTATTTTTCTTTTGCTTGTAAAATACATATACTCTTAAATATATGTTTAAATTATTAAAGTTATATCATTTGCATTTTTCCACAATATCAGAGTTCTTGTAGAAGAACATCAGTCATTATTTGCAGGTGACGTGATTTTTTACCTTAAATCCAAAGGAGTCAGTTGAAAAAGCAATTTTTAAGATGATTGATTAAAAGTTCTGTTATATAAACATCAAGTTTTCCTAAATATCAGCTATAATCAGAAAATACAGTGGGCAGGTATTTTATTGGCAGCCACAATTAAAGAAAAATTAGATACCTAGGAATAAGCTTAGATGTGCAAGTTTTATATCAAGAAAACTATAAACATTTGCTGAGTGGAGTTAAAGACTTGACAGCTGTGTTCCTAGATGTGCAGACTCCCATATTATAAATGTGTCAGTTATCTGTAACTTCATGTGCGTTTATAAACTGAATGCAGTTCCAGTTAAAATTCCAACAGATTTATTTTTGGAACTTGACAAAATGACTCTAAAGTTTGTTTTGAAGAGTAAATAATAAATAATAATTATCTGACCAGATACTAAATAAAATAGCAAGTACTAGCACTAAGCTGGACAGGTAAAGGCAGTTAGAAATTTAGGAACATAATCATGCAATTGAGAATTTAGAATCAGTTAAATTGAACCAAAATACTCAATAAGTAAAGGATAGATTATTTTATGAATAGTATTGGGAGAACTGACCGTTTGAGGAAGTCAAAGACTTACCTCAGATTTTTTTGTCACAATAAGTTAGAGGTGGTTTAAACATCTATTCTTAAAATTAAAATCAGAGGAACTTCAGTGTGAGTATTACAAGAGTAATAACAAAGCCTTGAAGATTAGAGGAAAAAATTAAAAGCTAGATAGACATGTGTTCACATCTCCAGCAAGGGAGGGGCAACAGGACATGTAATGAGCAATAGACTTAGCCCCCTTACCAATGCTTCCCTTAAGGAGATTGCCTCTAAAGATCTAAAGTTGTAAGTTTTATAATAGTAGAAATGAGTGGGCTTATTTTTCGATGTCTAAAATATTCCATCAAAAAATGCTCCTAAAGTAAAATGACATAGGATATAAAATTTGGTCCAATTTATGAACGAGTGTTTACATAAAAGAAAAAAACAAACTCATCCCCTACTCTTTCTTGTGCTTTCTGCCAGTTATTTTATAATCTAGTTTCTTGATCAAATAAGCTATCTTCCTCACATTTATTTAATTCATTATAATATGGATGCTGCCCCCTTTGTTGTACTAAAATTTTTACCCCTAGTTGCCAAATCCAGGACTACTTCTTTAGTCCTAAAGTTTCTGCAGCATTTTGATACTGTTGACTCTTTCTTTTGAAACAGCCCTTCATTCAACAAACACATATGCTTTACTGTCCACCAATAAAGAGTTGGTTAAAAAAAAATTGCTGTATAGTTTTATGATAGAACATCATGTTGTTGTTAAGAATGCAGCCAGTCTTTCCACAAGAATACATGCAATGTTCCAAGATGTACTAAAGTGAAAAAACAAGGCAAAGCATATTTTCTATAATCTGGCCCCTTTTGTATGGTGGTTCAGTGACTAAGTCGTGTCTGCCTCTTATGACCCCATGCGCTGTAGTCTACCAGGCTCCTCTGTCCATGGGATTTCCCAAGCAAGAATACTGGAGTGGGTTGCCATTTACTTCAGGGGATCTTCCAGACCCAGGGATCGAACCCGGATCTCCGGTGCTGCAGGCAGTCTCCTGCATTGGGAGCAGCTTCTTTACTGACTGAGCCACCAGGGAAGCACGTGTACAGTGTTGTAAAAAGTATAAAGTAAATATGTACCTGTGTGTACACTGGTTTGTACATACCTTTTTTAACCTGGGTGGATACAGGAAACTGTTAGGACACAGGACACAGAAAAGTGTTTTTTAAAAACTTGACTGGCTTCTATGTCAGGCTTCGTGATAAGTGGTCAGTATAAAAGACAAGCCCTCTCCCTGTCCTCTGAGGACTTCCATCAAATCACTCACTCCTGTTTCTGTCTCTTACTACCTTGCCTTGGTCTTCTCTGAGCTCTTATTCCTTGGTCCACCTCTTTGTTCTCTTTCTGTGCTTTCTCTGAGAAATCTCTTTTACCCCCAGTACTTAAATTGTAGCCTATATTCCAATGATTCCTAAATTTGTATCTCTAGATAAAATTTTGTCTCCTGAGTTTGACACCCATTATTTGTCTGTATATCACATAAATCCAGGGAATCTCACTCAGATGTGCCATAGCTGTTCAAAATGATTACATCTAAAATTTAAGTTCATCTACATCTTAGTACTCCACCACCCCCATCACGTTTCCCCTCAAATATTTCTCTCTGTGATTGTGAATGGGGCAAAATGAAATAATGAAATTTGTTACCCATGCCTGAATGTGGGAACTATCTTAGAGTTCTTTTTTATACCTGTGTTTCCTGACCCCTGCCTCCTCAACCCCAAACTATCTAGTAAATTTCTAAGTAAATTTTAAGACTTGTTCATCTCCCTTCTAAATATTTCTTAAATTCTTCCCCCATGGTCTTAGTTTCTCCTTCTGACCCCTTGACACCTTTTTGGGGAGCACGAAGTCGGGGTTCCTGGGAGGTGTACTGCCCTGTTTCTTACTCCTGGCACCTCTACCACCCTGCCGCCCTCTCCCCCACAGTGCTCGCGGAGCTCTTCTGTACCAGGGGGTGGAGTGTCCAGGTCTGTCCAGCTCACCCAGCCGCCTCTTTAGTATGTACTGAGCACAGAGCAGAGCTTATCAGATGGAGAACAAACGGCTTTGCTATTTTTTAAGCTTGAGGATACTTCTGCTACTAATTTACTGCTCAGCTTTCCTCATTTTCATTTGCTCCGTTGTCCACTTGGGAAAGGCTTGTTCTTTGCTTTGTTAGCCCATTCTAATTCTGTTTCTGTTTTCCCTTCATCCTTCATAAATCTGCTTCTTTCTCTTCATCTCTTTTCCTGGTTGGCAACATCTAGGAAACTGTTCTGACCAATTGAAGTAAGTTGCCTTCCGTGCTCCCAGTCAGGTCTACTGATGGTGACCATTCTTCTGAAATCATAATGCTAAACTTATACATTGAAAACAATGTATATTTTTTAAACAATGAAAAATGTATTTGTGCATATAATTTACCTTGCTTACTTAAAGTAAATATGCTCTAAAAATCTGAATTTAAAAGTGGAAAGGAGTTATTCTTTGCAGTTTTCCTAGTGAGGCCTTTTTTTTTTGACAAACACTTAAGAGCCTATAAGTGTCAAGTGTTTTTGCAGAAGATTTCATTTAACCTTTACCCTTATGAGAAGGTTTTCATTTCCTTATTTTCCAGATGAGGAGATTCAAGCTCAGGGCATTAGGTACTGTATCCAAGGTTGCCTAGGTTTCAAGACTCTGTCTGCTAGACCACATTTGCCTCTGTACTTTCAAATGAGTGGCTGTGAAATATATAATTTTATAATCCATGTGCAACAATACTGCTTCTGTTTTCTGTAGCCTCATTAATGTATTAATGTACTCTTGTAAGTTACTAAGAAAAGTTAACAACTGAAAATTAGACAGTGTTTGAAGCTTCTCTTCCTCCGCCATCTTTTTCATGTCATTCTGCTAGGCAGCCCCTAAAATACTTCTTAAGATTGTTATTTTATCTGTAGGCTGTAATTGAGCAATAATAAACTTTTTTTTTCCATTTCCTACTGGATTGGTTACAATAGTTATAGTATTATTCATGTCTTCTAAGCGCTCTTTAACATAATGCTTATTTACTGAAATGTGTTTTGTAGCTTCGTCAGCAATTGAAGTGGTTGATATGTGAACTCTGCAGATTATATAACCTTCCTAAGCACCTGGATGTTGAGATGCTAGATCAACCACTACCCACGGGTCAGGTAAAGTAAAAATTCTCAAGTGTTCAAGAGCTAAAATATATTGTCTCATGCACAATTAAAATTAGGATGATTTCTCATTATTATACAACTTATTTAGAAGTTAGTTTTTGTTTTCTTGTTGAATTGTTTTGTTTTAGATACTAAAAATAGCCTTTTCATTCTTGGGAGCTGCTGGTTATATTTACTATGACAGGCAAACAATTGCCCTTGGTCCCCATCACCACCTTTTTGTTGTTAATATTTCTGGTTGCCATAACTGTTCCTTGCTTCTGCAATTGTTTGCTTTTGTTTATTTATTTATCTTCACCTGAGAATGCCATCTCTCTGCCCTTTTGTGCTTCTAATGGCCTAACTCAAATATCTCCTCCATGCAGCAGAAGTACCCACTTGCTCACCACCACCTCTTACTTCTCTGGATTTCTGGATTTACCTATTTAGGTATAATTTCGTGACTTGTACTGTAATAAAGATTTAACTCTTATACCACCCACTTACCCATCCCCCTCCCCTTCCTAAAACATCTTTATATTTAGTCATATGAATAATCACCACTTATCATTAGGACTTTGTAGTGTAGTTTTCTGTTATAGTTCCTTTGTATAACTTTTTGCTTTGCAGTGTCTTCCTTAGTAATAATTCTTAGTTTAAAAAAATTATGTCCTGTCTCTTTTCTGTGAGACCTCCAGTCTCTTCAGCCTTTGGTCTCTTCTGTACCAGTCTCAGCAAGTTGTTTCCTGGGCTGGCTATTTAGTGGTCATCTTGAAACTTTTGTCTCCTCTACTGCAGTAGTAGATAACATTGTTTTCAGATTTCATGTTTCTTGGCTTACCTCTTTTCATTTCCCTGGAGTAAAATGATTTTAGTCAAGTAAAATCTTAAGAAAACATGAAGAGGTGGTACATTTCTGAGTTCTTAACTTCTTAAAAATAAGAAAAAAGTGGCCAGAGCACCATAGGTTTGAATCTTGATTACTGCTCATTAGTTATATTACCTAATTAGCTTAGGCTAGTTACCTAGCAATATGTGCATCAGTTTCCCATTTGCAAAATGAAAGAAATACTAGTAATATATATATTTGGGGGGACATGTAAATATTAAGTAGGTTGTTACATGTAAATCTTTTAGGGCAGTGCTAGTACATAATAAATGCCCAATAAATGTTAACTGCTATTACATTCTTTACTTGATTGATAGTTTGGTTGAATGTGTAATTCTTGGTTGAAAAAAATTTTAGCTCAGAATTTCAGGCTGAGCTGTTGTCTAGTCAGTAGTGGTATGCCATTCTTAGTCTTAGTCATCTCTGTGTGACTTTCAGGAAGCTTTTAGGACTTTGTCCTTCCGTTGGTATTCCGAAATATCACAGTGGTTTACTGAGTCCTGGCTTGTTTGCCTTTCCATTGTTTTTGAGCACTTAGTATGGATGGACCTTGTCAAATTTGGACTCTTGAATCTTTCTTTTTGGGTAGGTGTTCTTATGTTTTTTTTCTGTGGCACTTTCTCCTTTCCATTCTTTTCTTTGTTCACTTTGGAATACCTACCTGTAGGATTTTATTTATTTATTTATTTATATTTATTCATTTTATTTTTATTACCAGTAGGATTTTAGACCTCCTTGCTTGAATCTTTGTATCTCTTATTATCACTATATTCTGTCTCTGTCTTAATTTAAAATTCTGAAACATTTACCTTTCAATTTTTGAAAATTTTATTTGAACAATCATAACTTTATAAGTTTTATTTTGGTTATTTATTACTGCTTAGCCAGTTACCCCAGAACTTAATGGCTTAAACAACACTTTGTTCTATCTCTTGGGATTGTGTGGGTTGCTTAGGCTTAGCTGGACAGTTTTTCTGCTGACCTCACTGTGCAGTCAGATAGTGGCTGGGACACCTAGTTATTTGGACATGTGACCGCACTGGAACATCCAACATGGCTTCTTCATTCGCATGTCTGATGCCTGCTGTTTCCTCACATGGCCCTTCTTAACCACATGGCATCTCTTCATTTCAGGTCTCTCATTGTGGCTTCTCTTCCTTTAGGAAGGTAGTCAGAATTCTTATTTTTGGCTTTTAAGAGCACAAAAGTGGAAGCTGTCAGGCTTTTTTTAAAGTTTAGATCTGAAATTGGTGCAGTGTCATTTCTACCATGTTTACTGGTTAAGGCAAGTCACAGGGCCAGCCCAAATTGACAGTGGGAGGGGTCCATATAAAGGATGAATGCTGGGAGGTGCGGCTCATGGTGGGTCCTCTCCAAAGATGAATGAACCATAAGTTCTAAAAGCTTATTCTCTGATTATTCCTTATTTGTAGCATTCTATTTTTGTTCTGTTGATGTAATCATAAGTGTCTTTAAGGAGTTACTTTGATATTCTCCCTCAAGCATCTCTATTTCTCTTTAATAAGTTTAATAATTTTTTTCCTAATTTATCTTGTTTTTTTTCTTTTTGAAGATTTTCCTTATATATCTCTTTATTCTGTTGCTTTTTCATATTTTTTCCTTTTTTTTTTCATTCATATTTGAAAGAGGTACTAAAAGGCTGATAAGGAGTTCTTTGTGGCCAAGACTTGCCAACTGATACAGCTTTTTGGAGGAATTTAAGCTGACTTCCATCCCTTATCCTCCACTCCCTGTTTCCTGGTATAATCATAAATGATGGCTGGAACTGTTTGGTTTCTCTGGACATGAAACCTTATCTCCTGATTAAGATAGATATGTATGCCAGAGTTCTGCTTAAGGAGAGCAGTGTGTTTTGGTGGCTGGACAATCTGTTCTGTAATTGGCTTTTGGTTAATCTGTGTTTTCAATCCTATCCCATCACTCCTGCTGTCAAGTGTACCTGGTGTCTGCTCTAGAGCCTCTCCAGGGTGCTGTGGGACAGATTAGCCTGCTGATTATCCCCTAACCTGTGGCTTGACTTGTTTGCTCCACTTAAATTACCGTTCTTCAGTTCACTGTCATCTTCTAGCATGAGTTGTCTTTTCTGCTGGTAGCCCGCTTTTTTTGTTGTTGTTACATTGTGTGTTTGTACAATATTTAACCTTCATGGTATGTCTTCATCATAGTTCTAGTGGAGCTTCAGGAAAGAGATGGGAGAAAAGTATATTCTATGTTCAACTTTGCTTCTTCAGAAAACATAGGTTCTTCAATTAACAGTATATCATGGACACAATACATATAGACCTACCTTGTTTTTCATATATTAATAATTCCATATAGGGATATAACTTACAAATTACATGAATAAGTTTCCTAACTTTGAATCTTCCTTGTATTCCCATAATAAACATTCAGTACCTACGTAGGTTGGGAGTTGGGGGTAGAACACAACAGATAACAATACTTTATATTGGGGTTTTTCTACTTTAAGTAGAGTCTAATATAGTGTCTTTCCTTTTAGGCTCTTCTTGTTTAATTTTGGTATCAGAGTATAAGCAGTCTCGTGACTTGGGAAGCTTTGTTTTTTTTTTCTAAGATCTAGAACAGTTGAGATTAATTGTCACCTGGGGGTGGTTTTTGCCTCCCATGGGACACGTGGAAGGATTTGGAGAAACTTTGTGTTGTCACACTGGCAGGGGTGGAGGAGTGTGCTGTTGACTTTTTGTGGGTATAGGGGATGTTACTAAACATCCTGCAATGTCAGGACAGTTCCCCACAACAAACAGTCATTTGGTTTAAAAATATCAGTAGTTCCAAGGTTGAGAAACCTTGATTTAAACAAACATCTGAGCTGATCTATTTTTCTTTTCTTTGTAGTAGTCTACTTAGATTTTCCGTTTCTTTAGTCAGTGTTCGTAATTTTAGATTCTAAAAAATTGATAAATTCATCTGCACATTTGAAGCTGTTGGAAAGCTATGCAAAGTATTCACTTTTTGCATCATTATCATCTGTGATTATAATCTTTTCTAAAGTTTTCTTTATCTTGAGGCTGGTCTGTTTTATTATAATGGTCTTTTGAAAGAATTGACCCTTAGTTTTATTTGTTAAGTGTTTTTGATTTTTACTCTAGTCCTAATCATTTCTCCTTTTTCTCTCTTAGTTTACTGGATCAATGTGATTTAAGTTTTGTTTGTTTGTTTGTTTTTTAAGTTTTATAATGAAACATGTAAGGGTATTTATTTGTTTTCTTCTACATTGTTTGATGTTATTGCATAGATCTTAAAATTTACTTATTTTCTAAACAGATTGTATTTAAGTAGTTTGAGTCCATCTCTTGTTCATATTACTCTTCTTACATTTTACAAGAAAAAGTTTTAAATAATATGTATTGAAAGTAAATAAACATAAGTTTAGTATAATAACTAGTTATAGTGAATACCTGGCAACTATTGCCTAGCCACCACTCAGGTAAAGAAAAGAACATTGCTTGCACTGCAGAAATCTTCAGGCTCTTTCCAGATTAACATTCTCCTATATGTAATCCTCCCCTTACTTTTCTCTAGTTTTATTGCTCATATATCCATCCCTGAACAATATGGTTTAGTGTTGCCTGTTTTTGAGCTTCATATTAAGAGTTATACTATCTGTGTATTCTTTCATGTCCGTCTTTGGCTCAGCATTGTAAGTGTATTCATTTATATGGTGTGTAGTTATAGTTCTTTATTACCGCTGTATTTATTCCATTGTTTAAATGTACCATACATACTTATCCATTTGACTGTTTACTGACTTTTGGTTTGATTCCGGTTTGCTATTAGGAGTAGTGCTACCATGATCCTTTTTATCTCTGGGCATGTATTTAGGAATTGAATTACAGGGGCATATGAAGGTCAATTTCTTCTTAAATTCAAAAATTATTTAGAAAAAAAATTTAAAGATTCTCAGGCAACTTTGGGGTTTTTAGTTTTTCACTGTGATCAGAATATGGCCTGTAAACTTTCAGCTGCATTAGCAGCAGTTGCTTAGACTTAACCAGTGATGTCTTTGATTATTGCTGTTTCTTGTACTCTGTGGTTGCCCCTCTCTGAAATATATCTCTGAATAATGTATTCTTTTTTCTAGAAAGGATTTCTGAGGGTGGATATGAGGAGTGTTCCTTGAATACTCAGTGTCTGTTTTTATTATTTATTTAATATATTTATTTGACTTTGTGTAAAGGACTCTGTATAAGTGCTGAGGATCTGGTGCTGAATAAACACAGGTATGGCTCGCATCCTGATAGAACTCAGGGAATTCTAAATTCATAGCTGAGTCTTTTCCAAGTTCTTTATACTTTTTTCTTCTGGTATATTTTGTTATAGATGAAAAGTCTGAAGTCTGTCTGATTCTTAGTTCTTTATACTTTTTCTCTCTGGAAGTTGATTTTTTTTTTTTTCTTTAACTGTAAAGCATGGGGTTTTACTTTTCAACATTACTTTGGGGCATTCAGAGCTACTTGATATTTTGACATCCTTCTTTAGGTTGGTAACATTTGTCTCTTTCTTTCTCTCATTTTCTGAATGAATATTGGATCTCTGTATTCTGGTCTCTTTTCCCTTAACTCTTCTCTTATTTTAATCACCTTCTTTCCACCCCACCCCCCATCTCCTTTTTCTCCACATTTTAGGAGAATGTCACAGTTTGGTTGTCTTCTTTAGTCATAAATATTTGTTCATTCAGGTCCATTGTGCTCGCTGGCCCTTGTACTAAGTTGCTTTTTTTTGTTTTCCCTTTGAGGGGAGATATTTTTGATTTCCCAGAGCTCTCTTGTTCTTTTACATAGTAATATTTTTAGGTTTTGTGGATGCAGTATCTTCTCAATTACTGCTAAAGATTCCAGTTAGATTTTTTAAAGTATTTGTTTAATTTTTGGTCTTAAGTTGCGACATGCTGGGTCTGTGTCACAATTCATGGACTGTTTTCTAGTCATGGTGTGTGGGCTCCAAGGATGTAAGGGCTCAGTAGTTGTGGCACACAGGTTTGGTTGCCCTGCGGCATATGGAATCTTAGTTCCCCGACCAGGGGTCAAACCCATATCCCCTGCATTGGAAGGTGGTTCTTTAACTGCTGGACCACCAGGCAAGTCCCTCCAATTTAGATTTTAAATTGTTTTATTGCTTTCATCGATCATGCTTCAGGTCACTTCTGCTTGTTTAACTTGGTGCCTTTCTTTCAGATTGCTAGTTTTTTCAAATATCTGATGATGCCCAATGATCTCCTCATTTATAGATGAGGTATGAGTTGTTAGGAGTGTCCTCTGCAGTTGTCACTCTTCTCTGCTGTGGCTCCTGGTTTTTCAAACCTGTGCTCTGCCTGTGGCATGTGAATGGGAGGTGCTTGGCAGGTGGCCTTTGTAGTTCCTGAGTAAGAGGAAAAGAGAAATCTGTTAGGAGAGTTTGCTGCTGCATTTAGTTACATTACAAAATTGTTTTTTTCCTCTGGTTCTGACACTAAGAGGCCAGCAAGGTTGACCTCCTATATGAGCGTGATCCTTACCAGCTGTAGTTGGACAATTAGAGTAAGAATTTCTGGGGGAAAAAAATACCAAGTTTTTAAAGTCCTAGAGAACTCTGTGTCCTGGATAACTGTGCTCTGGGTCCAGGAAGCTTGTCTTTATGAACTCTGATTAAACTAGATATAAAAGCTCTTGTTAAAACCCTATCTGACTCATTGTGAATGAGAGTTAAGTTGTAGCTTATCCAGAAATATTCTGTGGTAAATAGCATGTTATAAAAAAGAAAAATAGCTCTTTAGTGAAATGGTGATTACTTTATAACTTTTAGTTTTGTGCAATGTCTATGCCTTTATAACGCATTTAACCTTTTAAAATGTAAACTGTAGAATTTATGGAAAGATTCAGGTTTTTCAAACCTTAAAAGGTAGATATTTTAAGGAACCCTTGGTTTGGGGTATTTTAAGCCAAAAATAAGCCATTGGCCTTATAGGCATAGCGATATGTATAAAATGTTTTCTTACTTTAAATTAGAATATTTAAAATAGTAATTAGAATATGTTTTAAAACTTCTTGTTTACTTTATATTTGACTAATTGGCTTTGTTAATTTCTAAGGCATCTGTTAAGTTGAATTTTTCAAAATTTCTCTTAAAAAGCTGATAAATATTTGTCAAAGCAGAATTTAAGAGTAAATGTTTCAGCTTTAATAAGCTGTTAGTGGAATTGCAGTGACAATTTGTCCATGGACAAATTGCATAGACAAGTTTGTCCATAAAGACTTCTGATATGCTGTGTGCTAACTTGTTCTGTGTAGTCCTGGCAAACTTTTTTTCTTTTCAGAACGGGACAACAGAAGAGGTGACTTCAGAAGAGGAGGAAGAGGAAGAGATGGCTGAAGTAGGTATTTTATGTAAAAGTAACATTTCATAAATATCTTCATTTTTGGGCATTTTAGTAATTTTCTAATCTTTATAAAACCATTGTTAATGTGGAATAATGAGAAGTACATTGTATTTGAAGTTTAATACATTTTCTAAAATCTGGCTTTATCTCTAATTCATCATATGTTTTTTAGCAAATTGCTTATCTGATGTCCTTGGATTTGATTTCATGGAAAATAAGAGCCTTAACATTTAGTACTAAAATTGCATTTGCATTTAACAGTAATCAATACTTAACCTGATTTGGTTTAAGAATAGGAACTACTAAGTTTCAAAAATTTGAATAAAAGGGGAATTTGAGAACATAAGGGACTCTTCCTTAGAAGTAATGAAAACTATCTCATTTTGAAAACTTTAGAGTGTCAAAGAGGAAATTCCAAAGATACTGAACTTACATCAGTTTAGTTGCCAGTCATTGATAAAATTTTAGAGGTTTTCAGACTCTGAAGCTTTGCATTTAAATTCAAACTTTGTAATGATCTCTTTCTCTATACTGACATGATAAAAGGCATTTAAGTTCCACAACCTTGGTTTTAAAACATTTTTCTGTTTTGGGTCTTAGAATTGATTCAAGTTATTACCTTATTTTTCTTGATTTGGAAGAATTTAAATCTAAAATTCACTTCTTAGGATGCCTTATAACTAAATGTAGTTGGAGGTTTGTTTTGTGAGTCTGAAAGTAAAAATAATTCTTTTTTGGAAAAAATAACTTTATTTTTGACTGTGCTGAGTCTTCGTCGCTGTGCCAGTTTTTCTCTAGAGCAGGGTCTGTTCTTCCTTGTAGTGCGTGGGCTTCTCATTGCGGTTGCTTCCCTTGTTGCCCGGCACAGACTCTGTCTAGGGTGCAGGGCGTCGGTAGCTGCAGCACGTGGGCCCTAGACTTGTCATTCCTGGGCTCCAGATCACACGCTCTGTAGTTGTGGTGCAGGGGCTTAGCTGCTCTGTGGCATGTGGGATCTTCCTGGACCAGGGATCGAACCCATGTCACTGAGCCACCAGGGAAGCCCTAAAATAATTCTTAACATTATCAAATGAGAGTGGATTTTGGAGAGATAGGAAGTTTTTTTTAATGTTTACATGCAGTTTAACTTTGGAATAAACTGAATTAAAATTTTAAACCTTTTATTGAGCCCAGTATATAATAAACTAGACATGGTACTCACAAAGAGTTTATGTATCTTTCTTTTTTCCATTCACAAGATAGTATGAAGGAAGGACAGCAACATTTGGGTAAACCTGAAAAGGTAGGATAGACTTTGGAGATGTCAGATTAGGATAGGTGAAAAGATATTCTAGGCAACTAAAATAATGTGGTAAAAAGGCCCAGAACAACCCTGGACATGGTGTTTGAGTACATTGGAGGTTGTCCTTCTGGAAGACGATTGATATGTTGGAGTCTTGGAAAGCAACTTTGTCTAGAAAAAGCAGATGGCTAAGTTTTGAATTAGAGACAATATTTGTTTATATTTGGTGTGATTGTTGATAAGGCCTTAAGCAGAAAATAGTGTACCGTGAATATTGTTTTGTAAAGATGATAATGATGACTTCTGTGTTGTTTACTACTGAGTGGAGAAATTTTGTGGGTTGGAATATGGCTGAGGTTGAAGTTGGAGGAGGAGATACAGTCCAGCACTCTGAAGAAAACAAGTGTATATGGTAAATCATAGCTAAAATGTGCAATCCAGGGGAAATTAGCTGTATGAAGTGTGAAGTCATAGACAGGGTCTACATAAGAAATGAATAGGAGTTGAAGAGATGGCAGTCAAAGATCTTTTTCTTGGAGTCTGGATGGAAGGTGGTCTAAATCAACCTGGTCTAGAAATCATGAATTAATCTGCTTGATAAAGTGGAGATAAAGTATAGACTACTTCTTTAGAGATTTTGATGGCTGAAGTAAAGTTGGAAGTAAGATAATAGATTTATACAAATGTATGCAGAATTTTTAAATATGTAAGAGCAGATGATAAGGGAAAGGAGGGAGAAGAATGATGTGGAGATTAATGATGTTGGCCTAGAGATGGTGTTTGAATTCTTTTTCTTTAACTTTTTTCCTAATTATAAAAAAATCAATATGTGCTCACTACAGAAAACTTGGAAAAGAAGAAAAAGCGCTGATAATAATATTTCAGTATATGTCCTTTTCTTTCTTTTCTGTGCTTATTTTGACATAATTAACATTCTGTGTATTCAATTTTGTATTCTGTATCTTTATTTCATTATTGATATAGAAGAAACCATTATATTGTATTGGCATTTTAACTGTCTTCTGGCATTCCATTGAATTAACTTCTGATATTTTGCACATGAAAATTTTGTTTTTGTGGTTATAAAGTTGAAATGGGCAAATAGATTTATCCCTGTATCTGTGTTCACATTTTTAGACTAGGTACTAAACTAAGTCTAATAGATTTTTAGAAATCAAGTTAAAGTTCTTGGTACCTCATGCTGTACTGTTTCAAAAATTCCTCTTAATAGGAGATTTAAAGCCATTTAAGATGGTTATGGCTGTGTAAGATTATTAAATGTGCTTTACTCAGTTTCTAGCTTTAAAATATAGGATGTAAAAGGAGAGAACCTTTTAAATTGAATGGTGAAACCTCTTCTCCTCTCCTCATAGGATACACGTGTTTCTCTCTTCTCTGTTCTAGGTCAAGAATAATTTAACTTTTGGCATAAGCTTGAGTAGCTAAATTTATCTTTTTGTAGGATATAGAAGACTTGGATCATTATGAGATGAAGGAAGAAGAGCCTATAAGTGGGAAAAAGTCAGAGGATGAAGGAATTGAAAAAGAAAATTTGGCAATATTAGAGAAAATTAGGAAGACTCAAAGGCAAGACCATTTAAATGTAAGTATTATATAAATATCTAGAACCTGGACTTTTGTGGTTAAATAATTACAGTTGACCCTTGTACTGTACTGTACTTGTACAGTGCTCAGGTTAGGGATGCTGACCTTGCGCAGTCAGAAATCCACATGTGACTACTGCCAGCCTTCTATATCCGCAGTTCCACATCCAAGGATTCAACTAACTGCAGATAGTGTAGTATGTATTTATTGAAAAAATCTGCATAAAAGTGGATCCATGCAGTTCCAACTTGTCTTGTTCAAGAGTCAACTGTACAGGAATAATATAAATACAGGGCAATTCAATAAGATACCAACTTCAGCCAGGCCCCTCCATCCCTGCCTTGGTAGTAGATTCAGTCATAAGCTTTATTGCCCTAGTTTTATTTTTCCCCCTAACATTTCTCATCTACTGATAGCTCCTTTCTACTCTGTTCATCTGAAATCATTTACTATCCAACCTGTTTATCCCGTTTTCTCTCTTTATCCTTTTCCTGTGGGATCTGTAAATTTAAATTCAGTCTCTCCTACAAAGTATAATTCAAATTCTCTCTTCTTCATGAAGCTGACATCTGGTTTGTTCTGCCCTGACAGAACCAAAAGTAACTTTTTCTTTTGACTTAACATCTTACATGAAGCAGCGTGGTGACAAACAGCTGTGTGGCTTCAGTTTCCCAACTCTAGAATGTGGACATTATGTACCGTTTAGATGATTTCTGTAAATAATAAATGAGAATGATATCTATAAAATGTTCAGTGTAGAGAAATATCAAATGAAAGTCCAGCTCTCCATCTCAACACTTACTGTTTACCTACTGCCTTTCTGTTAAAGCTGTTTATCAACCCCACGAAATCTGAGAACCAGTTCTTTTGTCCTGAGCACAGATTCTCAAACACAGGGAGTGAATTGTTATGCAAGGAGATGAAAAGTGTTGTAAACAGGAAGATTACTCTCATGTCTTCAGTCTTTCTTACTGTACTAATGTAACTGGCAAATCTTTCTTTAGAGAGCAAAGAAATTTAGCCAAGTCTTTACCTTGATTATTAAAAAATGAAAGCTTGTGGTATTCAAGTTAAAGATATTTACTCTTGCTTTCTATATCTTGTGATTGCATCCAGTTTGTGTGTTATAGTCAAACAACTACAAATTATTGAACACTATCACATGACACATACTCAGTCCTTTAAACTATTTATATACCTTTGCATTTAATTTTCATAACCACTGTGTGAAATATTCTCCCTATTCTACAGATGTGAAGCTTGGATTTTAACTGTTCAAGTAACGTAGCCAGATTTTCTACTTCACCTTAAAGTGTAGTACAACTTTAAAGGTGTGGCATTTAAAATTTTACAAGGTCAGGTGTTTTTTTTTAAATTCAGAAGACATTCTAAATGTTTTTATCTGATGATAAATAGTTCTATTCATATTCAGTCTTAGGATAAGATACTGGTGCCTTTTAATCTTCAGAGAAGTTGAAACAGTGAAAAGTACTGAAACCAGTTGTATGTATGTGGACATGTTTCTCTATTTCTTAATATGTAAACTATAGATTATTAGTATAATATTATTGATTATAAGGAAACTGCTTTAGTTAATGCATCATGTTGAGGGTCTTGTGGCGTTTTCAAAAATGCATGGAGCCCCTACACATCTATTAAAACAGCCAAAATTTGGATCACTGACAACACCAAATGGCTGGTGAGGATATGGAGCAACAGGAAACTTTTCTGATTGCTAATAGGAAAATAGTGTCTGGCAGATTCTTTAAAAACTAAACATATTCTTACCATACAATCCAGCAGTTGAGCTCCTTGGTATTTGCCCAAATGAACTGAAAAGTTATGTCCACACAAAAACCTGCACATGGATGTTTATAGCAGCTTTGTTCATAATTGCTAAAACTTGGAAGCAACCAAGGTAGTCTTCGGTAGGAAAGCAAATAAACTGTAGTGCATCCAGTACTACAGGCAATGGAGTATTAATCCCTGATAGAAAAAAAGTAATGAGTTGGCAAGACAGGACATAGGCCTGGAGGAACCTTAAAAACACGTTACAGGTGAAAGAAGCCGATCTGAAAAGATTGCAGACTGTGTTTCAATTATATGGCATTCTGGAAAAGGCAAAACTATGGAGATAGTAAAAAGATCCGTGGTTGCCAGGGATTGGGGGGTGGGGTGGGATTAATAGGTGAAGCGCCGAGGACGTTTTGGGCAATGAAAATACTTTGTATGTTACTGTAACGTGTGGATGCGTGTCATTATATGTTTGTCCAGATCCATAGAGTATACAGCACTGAAAGTGAGCCATAAGATGGTGTGATGATGTGTCCAAATAGGTTTATAAGTTGTGAGAAATACGCCCCTGAGGGATGCTGATAATGAGGGAGATTATTGATTGTGAGGGGCAGTTATGTAGGAAATCTCTGTACTGTCCTCTTAATTTTGCTATGAACATGAAACTTCCCACCCCAAGTAAAACCACAAAAAAGAAAATGATGAATTTGAAATAGACTCTTATTAGTTCCAGGCTATTGAAGTGGTCATGGTGATCTGGACATAAGTTTTTTTCAGATGACAAATAGTAAATGAATCAGACCGGTTCCAAATTTGTATTCCTGTTGCAACTTTATGATCATTGATTTAATTTTTTTGACTTCTTAAATGTTAAGTGGTGATCCATTTTTACAGTCTCATTATGAACATTTATTTCAGGTTCAGATACCTTAAATCTTTAGTTATTTGAATCAATAAATCGTGGTAAACAGCGAGTTTTATGTTTCAGGGTGCAGTGTCTGGGTCTGTACAAGCTTCAGATAGACTTATGAAAGAGCTCAGGGACATATACAGATCACAGAGTTATAAAACAGGTAAGGACCTCTGGATCTCTGCTGTCGTCCTTATGCCTAAAGTTTTCAGGTATAATGTAACTTCATTTCTCATAGTATAACTGGACAGAAACAGAAATGTTTTTTAACTTTATTTTAGGAATGTGAAATGCAAATGCAAAGTTAATTAAGTAACCAAAAGATGGGGGGGATAAAATAGGATGAGTTCACTTATTGTTTGGATTTTTAGAAATTGTTTTTATGGGCACATTTTTTGTTTTCTCGATGATAGGGATTAATTCATAGGATTTTTATCTTCTAGGAAAGTTACAAGAAACATCTGCTTTATAAAGTAAATAAGATGAATATGTTTTATTATACAAAGAACTATTGTCAAGTTAATTTATGTTTTTATTCCTTTTTTTGAAACGACAAACTCATAATCAACTGATACAGAGAGTTAAAATAGGTTTTTTTTAAAAAAATTGTGGTTTGACTTAAGTGTTCTTTCTTATCCAATAAGACTTAAATATTGTGGAACCTCCATGACTGATGTAAAATTCCTTCATATTATTGCAGAGAGTCTAACAGTATTGAATAAGGTAAAGAGTCAAACTTTACTTTGTTTGAAAAAAGTAGCATTATAATTCATTCAGTATTTTTCAGAGTTCTCAAATCTAAATCATGAGAGCTTACTTAGAAACAATCAGCCTCTCCCCTGGAACAATGGATAAGTCAAACTTGTTTCTGAGATTATTACAAGTTTTGGTGTCCTAACAGTTCTTCTTATAAGAAGTCTGAAAGTTTGTGTGTAGAACCTAATAAAGTTAAATATTTGAATATTATTTATACCCAAATGTTAAATCATCACATGTTTGTTACTGCATTATTTTATAGTAACAAAAAATTAAATTAATAACCAGATATATGGTGAGCTTAATTAAATCATAGCTTATCCATAAAGTAAATTACTATAGAATTGTTTTAAAAATTGACAATAAATTTCTATATACTAAGCTGGAAAAATGCCCCCTGAAAGATTATAAAACTATATGTAGAGGGATTCCATTTTAATAGAAATGTTTGTATATGCATAGGAGGAAAGTCTTAAGTACATGTGATTTTGCATAATCTTTTTTTTCCTTTTGCATTGAATGGTAAACAGTTTCTCAACCCCACAATCCTCTTCATGATGACTTTAGTTATCTATCTATCTAGGGCATAAGATACTCTGCTCCTGCACAAGAATTATTATAACTTAGTTGTTATGTTTTAATAGCAAAATTTCTTGCTTTTGTTGGTATATAGTGTGTACATTTACAGCAGAGCAATAGTTATAAGATCGAGTGCAACAGTTATAAGTGAAGAGTAACTAACATGCCCTATATCATTACAGGGATTTATTCAGTGGAACTCATAAATGACAGTTTATATGACTGGCATGTTAAACTGCAGAAGTAAGTGCTTTTTTAAGCTAACCCACTCTTTTTAATGGTAGACGATCCCAGTGAGATTTCCTCCCTGCTTAATTTGGTACCTATTTACTATGGCTTTTACTTAGAACTTTAGGTTCTGTTTGTATAGAAGTAGTTCTTAGGTTGTTAAAATGAGCTGTTTCTTGGGCTTAATAAGTAAAGAGAAAGCAAGAGGAGAAAAAGAAGGGCCAGCTGTGGGAGAAGGTGTTTCATGGAGTTAGTGAGACAATTAGGAACTATCCAAACAAAAGTGTATAAATAACTTGATGAGTTAGTATCCAGTGTGTACTCGAAGAAAGAAATTTGAGGAGATCTTTATATAAACAGTTGTAGACAAATTTAGATTTTGTTAGTGATTTCACTTGTCCTTGGTAAATTTCTCTCATTGAACCCTTTGTCTAATAATATAGTTTGAGAGAAGCAGATTAAATTTTTGAGTTCTTGAGAAGACTATATATGACCCTTCCTTTAGGATAACTGCTAACTTTGCATGTCGCTTGAGAGAATAGATATAGAATACTGTGATCTCTTCTTTGGACATTTAATCTCAAAGAATTGGAGACTATAGTAATTTGTTTTTCTAGGGACCATAGAACAACTTTAGACTTTCTCTGTTTGGAACTTACCCTAGGGGCTCTGTTTTTAGCTTTCGAAATGGTTCGTTTTTGAAGTTAAGGGAGGAAAAAAACATCTGACCTTTTTGTTTGAACTCTTTTTTTGTTTTGTCATTCTTTAGGGTAGATCCTGATAGTCCTTTGCACAGTGATCTTCAGATTTTAAAAGAAAAAGAAGGCATAGAATATATTTTGCTTAACTTCTCTTTTAAGGTAAGAAAAATTGTAAGGGGACTACATATGCTTCTAATGCAACATATATTTGTACAATTGCTTTGGAAAACCATTTGGTATAACTTGGTAAAGTAGAAGGTACTTGTATCCTATGGTCCAGGAATTTTCCTTCTAGATACACAGCCTGTAAGAAATGAGTACTTAGATGTGCCAGGAGACCAACACAAGAATGTTCAAAGCAGCATTGTTTATAATAGGCTCAAATAAAAATAACCTAAGTGTCTCCCAGTAAAATTGAGAACTGTGGTATTCATAAGATGGAATAGAGCTATGTACAACAAGATAGATGAATCTTAAACACAGTGTTGAGCAGAAAGCAGATCCAGAAACATGTTTTGTACAGTTTCATTTATATAGAGCTCAAAAATAGGTAAAACTAAATTGTTTAGGGCGTGCATTCTCATTGAAGGCAGGTCTCCCTCTCCTTCCCTGCTCCCCACTCCACACCCCATGCAGTGAAAATTGGTCCTTGGAGTGAAAAAGGCTTAGATGTTAAGATGGTCTGTAGCTGTTCAAGGGGCCATAGTATGTGTATAGATATACAGTATGTCTGAGGTGTTAAAATATGGTGAGGGAGCAGGACAGGGAAGAATTAGGGGAAAAAATACTCTAAAAAGGCTTGTTAGTGGGACAGAAATGAAAAGAAGGCTGAGAAACATTAATGGATTCATACTTGGAAATGAAGATGCGAGTACCATACAGTTAAAATAGCAAGTACGTCTAGGTAAGAGGGAAGGAGTTGTGAGCTGAAAGGGACATCTATAGGGGCTTCTTGGATACTGGCTATAGTCTGTTTCTTGACCAGGGTGGTGGTTGTGTGGATACAGTTTCATGCTAATGTGTAACAGTATACCTATATACTTTTCTAAATTTATGTGTTGTATTTAACAACTTTTTTTTTCAAGTTGCTGAAAAATAAAAGTTAAAGAAGAATGGCAATGGAATCTAGATAAAATGTATTGATTTACTATGGAATCTGGATAAGTGTAGTGGTTTTAAGCTTTTGTTTAAAAACACTGCAAAGCGTTTCTAAGGGATTATGTTTTAATTATTTGAAGCTTGTTTTTGATTTGGTCTCTGATATTGAGAAATTGTGTAACAGCTGTCTTGCAGATAAACTTTTTTTTTTCTATTTCAGTTAGACTTCAGTGCATTTTAGTGTGATAGAATGAACAGCAGTCCTCAACTTTTCGGCACCAGGGATAGGTTTCACGGAGGACAATTTTACCACAGACTGGGTTGGGAGGTGGTTTGGAGATGATTTAAGTGCTTTACATTTATTGTGTTATTCTATTATTATTACATCAGCTCCACCTCAGATCATCAGGCATTAGATCTCGGAGGCTGGGGACCCCTGCTGTAGAAGGCTTGAGGACGTGAGACATCTAAAATGTAATCCCTGTTCTTTAAGGACCTGTTGTCTTTCTGGAGAGAAATCTGTGAGGAAAACTGTAGGGCTTTGGAGATCATGATGGAGACTCTGGGAGCTTACCTTTATGTAGTAAAAAGCTAGCAGGGGTTTTTAGGCAGGGGTATGATTGATCTACTAGGCTTTTTATTTTATTTTTGAAAAAAATTAGCATGCCATTAGCATAGAGTAGGGTTTGGATAAGATAGAGTAGACTTCTGGGAGGCAAGCTGGGGGCATTGGTTTTAATCTGGGCGAAAGAGTAATGAAGGTTGGCAGTGGTAGGAATAGGTGACAGTAGATGAACATGGGCTTCCCTGGTGGCTCTGCTGGTAAAGAATCCGCCTGCAATGTGCGACTCCTGGGTTTGATCCCTGGGTTGGGAAGATCTCCTGGAGGAGGGAAAGGATACCCACTCCAGTATTCTGGCCTGGAGAATTCCATGGACTGTATAGCCCACAGGGTTGCAAAGAGTCAGACATGACTGAGTGACTTTCACTACCATTAGATGACTATGAGATGTTTTGAAGGAAGAAAAGACATTAAAGGATATTTTTACACCTACAAAAAGGAGTAATTTTCTGAAAGCTGCTTACTTAGTGTTTGTGTGTGTATATTCTTGTTTGGGCTTATTTCCTCATTTATGATTGAGCTTTCTTCAAATAACCCAAATGTCATATGTCACTATTTTCCCACAGCTTTGTTATTATAGAAATTGAGACTATCAGCTGGTTACCTTCCTAAAGAGTGAATCTGGTATATATTTACTGATTCATGTGGTGCAAAGAACCTAGGAATGTTATCTTTTTTAAAAATGCAGATTTTTATTTTATTTATTTTTGGTCACACTGTGTGGCTTGTGGGATCCTACTTCCCTGACCAGGAATCAAACCCCCGGCCATTGACAGTGAAAGCATGAAGTCCCAACCACTGGACTGCCAGGGAGTTCCCCTCTATAAATTATTTTTAACTTGAAATCTAAATAATTAAATCATATGCCCAACACCAAGCTTAAGAAATAGAACTGTATCAGTATCTTTGAAGCCCAATGTGGGCCTCTCCCCTCCCACATTCTCCTTTCAGACATATCTTTAAAGGAATATGAAATCTTGACCAGGAAACTGTTTGAGACTTGTGACTGTGGATAGTGTTTTCACTATATTTTCTTGCTCTAGATAGAACTTCCGAGAGGACAATCTGGGAGGTAAATAAATGGCTGAGATTCTGTTGGATTTGTGTTTCTGGACCATGGTTTCTGATACCAGAAAGAAGGGCCTTTGCTAGGGTTGAAGTATTTAAGAGGCCTGGGAAGGTTAAGATTGCCCTGAGCTAACTGACCTTGTGACGAGGACCTTAAACTCAGTTGCCAAGTTATAAGTATCTCAATTCATAGATTTTTGGAGGATAGCAGATATGACTCAGAAAGAAGAGGATTCACAGACTATTCAGAGCATGAATAGTATTTGAGGCCTTGAATGTCCACGGTGACACCTTGAGGGTCCTGAAGAATAAGAAAATGAAACTTGGGATACAGTGTGACACCAGGTTGGGAAGGGGAAAGGGGCAGGAGGTTGGGCCGTATTAGATTTGTCCGCAGCTTGGTTAGGAAGTGGTGGTCTGGCTTTTCAGGCCACGTGTGAATTATGGAGTTGAATTCTGAGGTAGTACTTTAAAAAGAATTTGTTTAGACAAATCTGGGTTCATCTAGAAGGATTAGAGATTCCATACCATGTCCTAAGACGGTGGAATTGTAGATTTGGAGAGGAGAACAGCGGGGTTTGTGATAGCTTGTCGTCAGCTATTTGAAGGACTGGGTATGTAGAAATATTAGTTTGATTTTGTTTTTGATGAATACAAGGCATGCCAATTAAATTAGTAAGTCAGACTGTAAAGAGAAAGTTTTCAACTCAATATAAGGAAGTGATTTGTAGTTATTTAGAGCCATCCAATGATGTAGTCATTCAAAAATAGAATGTTCCTCATCGTTAAGAATAGCTTGGAAGGCTTAGATAGTTTATTTGGAAATCAGATAACTGTGTGAGATCGCTGTAAACTCTGATATTCTTAGTTTCTGAGTCAATATACCACAGTAACTCGCATATCTATATTTTTGTTTTTGTTTTAGATACACGGCATGGCTTGCGGGATTTTAGTTCCCCCGCCAGGGATTGAACCTGGCAGTGAAAGTGTGGAGTCCTAACTGCTGGACTGCTTGGGAATTCCCTCTCATGTATCTGTTTTAACAGAAACCTTCTTCTCTTGCCCCCAGTGCCTGTACCTACCCTTCCCCACCCTGACACCTTATTTCTGTAAAATTTTGGTTACTGAGTTCCAAGGTACAGAGTTTATGGAATAGAATCCCTAGGTTTTGATAGAGTAGTTAATCTGAGGCATTACTTAAAGTGAAGGGAGGCCTCACTGTCACATGATCAATTCAGAGAGGTTTGTAGTCACTCATATGGAATCACACATTCAGTGATGTAAAATACAGGAAATTAAATCAAGTTGTGCTTTACCAAACTTTGCATCTATGCCTTTCTTTATTAAATTGTAGATAAAAAGTGAGCTACTTATTTGAAAGTAGATTATAATAACTGTCATTAAGTTGGTTTCTTGTGTGGATAGATTTCTTCTTTTTCTGCCTTATAATAGATAGCTAAGATTACCTGTTTTAGCCATCAGAAGTATGTTTTTTATCTCCCTCTCCTATTAGGATTTAATTTTCATAGTTTATATGTTCCTCAGAGTCTTGCTTGAGGATGGGTAGAGGTAGGGAGTTAAACACTGTGTTTTTGTATTCTTAGAAATCAGTTCAGTTCAGTTGCTCAGTTGTGTCCGACTCTTTGTGACCCCATGAATCGCAGCACGCCAGGCCTCCCTGTCCATCACCAAGTCTCGGAGTTTACTCAAACTCAAGTCCTTCGAGTCAGTGATGCCATCCAGCTGTCTCATCCTCTGTGGTCCCCTTCTCTTTCTGCCCCCAGTCCCTCCCAGCATCAGGGTCTTTTCCAATGAGTCAGTTCTTTGCATCAGGTGGCCAAAGTATTGGAGTTTCAGCTTCAGCTTCAGTCCTTCCAATGAACACCCAGGACTTATCTCCTTCAGGATGGACTGGTTGGATCTCCTTGCAGTCCAAGGGACTCTCAAGAGTCTTCTCCAGCACCACAGTTCAAAAGCATTAATTCTTAGAAATAAATACTGTTAATTTTCTGTTTCTTAGAAGTAAACATTGTATTTTTGTGTTCTTAGAAGTAACTGGATGAAACAAACGTTTGTTTAACTCCTTTACCTACAGATTGATTTTTGATTTAAGGGGCGTTAGTTGTTGTCTAATTTTTTTTTATTTGACCATAGAAATTGGTGGTAATTTCTCTTAGACTTCCTGACAGATCTTCATGGGAGGCAGTATGCTATTACCTTGTTCCTCTATTGTAGTGGATGGGACCTTTTTTGGACTCAGCTGACACTGACACTCTGTCAGAAGCCAAGACCTCTGACACTCTGAGGCTACCTTAGCTACAGTCTTTACTTAAGTTCACTGGGAGAAAAAGTTTTGTTCTGGAAACCTCAGTTTCCAGGACTGAAAATTTGAAAGCAGCCTGAGAATTAACTAAGATTCTTTTCTCTTATTTTGCCTACTTTATATGTTTATCAAGCCTGATCTTTGCCAAAGCGATCATCTACTGACATTTAATGTTCTTGCTATTTGGGTTTCAATCTAGTGTCTCATTCTGTTTGTCCTTAAACCATCTCTTTTTTTCTCCTTTCTTTCAGATTTTTAAGAAATTACTCTGGTTTCCCCACCTCTATTAGCATGGTGCTTATCATTCCTTTACTCTTCTTTACCACCTTAGAATTACAGTGCATACCCTTAGCTTGTCAAAGTGTAATATAAATTTGTTAGTGTTTTTCTTTTTCCTTGTCAACACAGAGATCTTAGAACATGTACTCTGTGCTCTTGTTGTCATTCCTTTTAGTTCTATTTTTATCTAAACCCTTACACATCACTATTGCATAACTCGTCAGTATTCATTTGGGCCTATGTATGTATTAGCTCTCTTCATGGTCTTTATTCTCCTTGTTTCCATCTAGGACCTTCCTCTTACTTGAAGAATATCCATTTTTGTTTCCTTTAGTGTGGGTCTGCTTATAGGAAAATATCTTTATTTGGACTTCATTTTTGGAAAGTATTTTTATTTGGTATAGATTTTTAGGTTGGAAATTCCTTTCTTTCATTATCTCAAAGATGTCATTCCTCTATTATAGCTTCCATTGTTTCTCTTGAAGTATTTACAGTGGGTAAATCTTATGAAATCTTTAATCATTTTTGGAAAATTCTCACATTATCTCTTCAAATATTACTTCTGTCCCATTTGCTCTTCTTCTAGGACTTTACATATATGATTAGCCTTTTCAATTCATTTTCCTGCATCTTGCTTATTGTCTGTATTTTCCACTTTTTTCTCTCTCTTGGCTTCATTTGGGATGCTTTCTGACTTATTTTTCCAGTATACTAAAATTTTCTTCCAAGTCTCCACGGTAGTTAAACTCATTCATCAAGTTATTAATTTCAGTTATTGTATTTCTAAGCTTCAGAATTTCTATATAGTTCATTTTTATAATTTTAGTTTTCTTCCAGGGTTTTCAGTCTTGTCTTTTCTTGCACATATTCAGCTTCAGTTCAGTTGATCAGTCATGTCTGACTCTCTGTGACCCCATGGACTGTGACACGCCAGGCCTCCCTGTCCATCACCAACTCCCAGAATTTACCCAAACTCATGTCCATTAAGTCGGTGATGCCATCCAACCATCTCATCCTGTCATCCCCTTCTCCTCTCGCCTTCAATCTTTCCCAGCATCAGGGTCTTTTCCAATGAGTCAACTCCGCATGAGGTGGCCAAAGTATTGGAGTTTCAGCTTCAGCATCAGTTCTTCCAATGAATATTCAGGACTGATCTCCTTTAGGATGGACTGGTTGGATCCCCTTGCAGTCCAAGGGACTCTCAAGAGTCTTCTCCAACACCACAGTTCAAAAGCATCAATTCTTCAGCGCTCAGCTTCCTTTATAGTCTAACTCTCACATCCATACATGACTACTGGAAAAACCATAGCTTTGACTAGACGGACCTTTGTTGGCAAAGTAATGTCTCTGCTTTTTAATATGCTGTGTAGGTTGGTCATAACTTTTCTTCCAAGGAGTAAGTGTCTTTTAACTTCATGGCTACAAGTCACCATCTGCAGTGACTTTTGGAGCCCCAAAAAATAAAGTTTGTCACTATTTCCACTGTTTTCCCATCTATTTGCCATGAAGTGATGGGACCGATTGCCATGACTTAGTTTTCTGAATTTGAGCTTTAATCCAACTTTTTCACTCTCCTCTTTCACTTTCATCAAGAAGCTCTTTAGTTCTTCTTCACTTTCTTCCATAAGGGGAGTGCCATCTGCATATCTGAGGTTATTGATATTTCTCCCAGCAGTCTTGATTCCAGCTTGTGCTTCATCCAGCCCAGGGTTTCTCATGATATAAGTACTCTGCATATAAGTTAAATAAGCAGGGTGACAATATACAGACTTTGACTTACTCCTTTTCCTATTTGGAACCAGTCTGTTGTTCCATGTCTAGTCCTGACTGTTGATTCCTGACCTGCATACAGATTTCTCAAGAGACAGGTCAGGTGGTCTGGTATTCCCATCTCTTTCAGAATTCTCTACAGTTTGTTGTGATCCACAGAGTCAAAGGCTTTGGCACAGTCAATAAAGCAGAAATAAATGTTTTTCTGGAACTCGCTTGCTTTTTCAGTGATCCAGCAGATGTTGGCAATTTGATCTCTGGTTCCTCTGCCTTTTCTAAATCCAGCTTGAACATCTGGAGGTTCACAATTCACGTATTGTTAAAGCCTGGCTTGGAGAATTTTGAGCATTACTTTACTAGCATGTGAGATGAGTATAGTTGTGTGGTAGTTTGAACTTTCTTTGGCATTGCCTTTCTTTGGGATTGGAATGAAAACTGACCTTTCCAGTCCTGTGGTCACTGCTGAGTTTTCCAAATTTGCTGCCATATTGAGTGCAGCACTTTCACAGCATCATCTTTTAGGATTTGAAATAGCTCAACTGGAATTCCAAAACCTCCACTAGCTTTGTTCATAGTGATGCTTCCTAAGGCCCACTTGACTTCACATTCCAGGATGTCTGGCTCTAGGTGAGTGATCAGACCATCGTGATCATCTGGGTCGTGAAGATCTTTTTTGTACAGTTCTTCTGTGTATTCTTGCCACCTCTTCTTAATATCTTTTGCTTCTGTTAGTTCTGTACCATTTCTGTCCTTTATTGTGCCCATCTTTATGTGAAATGTCCCCTTTGTATCTCTAATTTTCTTGAAGAGATCTCTAGTCTTTCCCATTCTATTGTTTTCCTCTATTTCCTTGCCTGATCACTGAGGAAGGCTTTCTTATCTCTCCTTGCTATTCTTTGGAACTCTGCAATCAAATGGGTATATCTTTCCTTTTCTCCTTTGTTTTTGACTTCTCTTCTTTTCTCAGCTATTTGTAAGGCCTCCTCTAGAGAGCCATTTTGCTTTTTTTGCATTTCTTCACTTGGGGATGGTCTTGATCCCTGCCTCCTGTACAGTGTAACGAACCTCCATCCATAGTTTATCAGACACTCTGTCCATCAGATCTAGTCTCTTAAATATTAAATGCACTGTATAATCCTAAGCGATGTGATTTAGGTCATACCTGAATGAATGGTCTAGTAGTTTTCCCTACTTTCTTCAATTTAAGTCTGAATTTGGCAGTAAGGACTTCATGATCCTTAGATCCTTAGATCCTTAGACAGTTAGCTCCTCGTCTTGTTTTTGCTGACTGTATAGAGCTTCTCTATCTTTGGCTGCAAAGAATATAATCAATCTGATTTCAGTGTTAACCATCTGGTGATGGCCATGTGTACGGTTTTCTCTTGTGTTGTTGGAAGAGGGTGTTTTCTATGATCAGTGCGTTCTCTTGGCAAAACTCTATTAGTCTTTGCCCTGCTTCATTCTATACTCCAAGGCCAAATTTGCCTGTTACTCCAGGTGTTTCTTGACTTCCTATTTATTCCAGTCCCCTATAATGAAAAGGACATCCTTTTTAGGTGTTAGTTCTAAAAGGTCTTCTAGGTCTTTGTGGAACTGTTCAACTTTAGCTTCTTCGGCATTACTGGTCGGGGCATAGACTTGGATTACTGTGATATTGAATATTCAGCTTAGTTATTTTAAAATCTGTGTCTGATGATGCTTATCTTGACTCCTTGTAGTTTTTTCTGTCATTTTCTGATAATGCTGTCTTTAAGTCTCACATGACTGGTTATTTTTGGTGATAGATGTTTCATATGAATGATTAGAGAGCTAATTTGAAGCCTTGGATGCTAGTCCTCCACACAGAAGATGTACACCTGCCTATCAGGTACTTGGGCATTGTAACCCAGGATCCCTGAATCCAAAATGGCAGTTGGGCTTTGTTCTCTGCCCGTGTAGTTTGTGACTTGTCCTTCAGGGTCCCAAGCTAACGTGTGCTATGGCGACTTGTAAGGAGTCTTTTTCTTCTCAGCTTCTTAACCTCTTATATCTTCCTCTCCTCCAACTGAAAGAAAATGCAAAGAGGAAAAAAACAGGCTGCACTCTGAGGTTCCCTTTTCCTGATCTTAGCTCTGTAGTTATACATTTGTCTACCTTTTCTAGTTCATAGCCAGAGGATTGATCCAAATTACCTAGTCCATCATTATTGGAATGGTTCCTTTATATAGTTCTCTTGGAAGTGGGAACCTCTTTCTGTATTTCATAGTTTTGCAAATATACTGTTCTGTTTGGGCCTGATGTTCATTTTTATTTGCTTTGGTTTTCATTTCATTTTATTTTGGGGGACTATTTTTGCATTTATGACCCTCATTCATCATTAGATAATAAATGTATGCATTCTTTATAGATTATTTTAAAATCTTCTAAATAATACAATATTAAGAATATTCTTAAACTTATTTGTTTTTTAGGATAACTTTCCGTTTGATCCTCCATTTGTTCGAGTGGTGTTACCTGTTCTCTCAGGAGGGTAAGTTTAAGTGATTATTTTCTTTTATAGTATACGTGAGAATTATTTGGAGGGCTAGTCAAATGCCAGGAGGCCTAGAATGCTAAACTTTACCTCAAAGTTTCTGATTCAGTAGGACTTGTTATGGGGCCTGAGAATTTCCGTATCTAAGATAGTCTCAGGTGAAGCTGATGTTCCAGGCTGGGAACCATAATTTAAGCATCACTGGTATAAACCATTATGTTTATAGGGGCTTTTTAATGACCCCTATGTGTATATACTTCACCTTAAAAAATCAAATGTGTTTCAAATGTAAGTTGTGATTGAGGGTTTAGAGAAAGTTAGGATTAGAGAGTGATTCCCGCATGCCCATGATGCGAGGAATAATCATAGGAAATCTCACGGGCCTATGGAGCTGGTCATTGATTTTCTAAAGGGGTTGTCTCAGTTTGGTAGAATCAAGTCATAATTGCCTGACATTTTTTATTGAAACTTATATTTTTTGTGTGATTAGAAGTCATGTGAACGATGGGGAAAAGATCAGAATTTGTACCTAGGTTAGTTGTGGAAGGTTCTATAGATCTTTAAAGTAAAAGGAGTTAAACTAGTTTGAGAATTGTGATATGCTCAGCTGATCAAGTCCACTCTGTGAAACAATCATATTATGGTAATTAAAATCTAAAAATATCCAATCCTTTGATCATTTCTATGCTTGATATAGTAATAGTCTCATTTAGATTAAAACAATATGGGGGGCTATAAATGATTAAGGAAAATATTTGGAAACTTTCTGCAAATTCAGGATAAAAGTATAAAAAATATTTTTATCAAATTATTTTGAAATCTGATGTAAACTTCACTAGCATAGATTTTTTTTCGCATTCTGTTGTGGAAAAAATTTCCTAGAGTTTATGGTCTTAGTAGTTTACCACCTTGTGGAAATAATTAAATTATAAATAATGCCATTTTCAGTTTTAAAATCTGCTATATAGTTTCTCTTCATTGATTACTTTTACCAAATGGGGTTATTTTCCCATTATTCAAATAAATAACTAGAATAAGTCAGTTTGTGACTTATCCAAATAAACCTTATATCTTCTAATAAAATGTTTCTTCCATTATACCAAAAGGCAGCAATAATAAAAGATTAGAAGTATTGAGTATTCAATTGATTTGTCAGGTGTTAAGTATGGACTTAAGTTCTCTGATCTTAAAGGAAAAGGAAAATGCTTCTGGCAATAGTGATCTGGGAAGACTTGGACAAGTAGGTGGGATCTCAGCTAGGTCTTGAAGTATTGGGTGGGGTTTGGTCAACTCATGGAGGTTGAAGGAAAACTGTCTACATAGGTGAAAAGCAAATACAATCACATGTTTAGGAAAGAGCATGGTGTATGCAGTTTACCAGAACAGCTTGAGCTGTAACACATGAGGGGTAGAGTTCCTATAGAAGAATTATAGGAAACTGTGCTGACAATAGCTTGTAATTATATAGGAGTATAGATTGGTGAGCAAACTATTACCCATGGATATTTAATTTATTTTTCTTTAACTGATTCAGAAATAGGGAAATAACAGTAAAAAGAATGTCTTAGAAAGCTAAGTCTGGTGACAGTAGAAAAAACTACAGGATAAATTATATTCACAAAGTCTGGAAGACTGCAAGGCTAGTTAAGAGATGATGCCACTGTCTTAGGGTGAAGTGATAACAACTTGAGTTGCTACATTAGTGATGGGAATGGAAAGATGATTGAAGGATGAAGGCTAATTTGAGGCAAAATCAATATGACTTGATCTTCGCAGTCAACTATTAAGTAAAAAGTAAGAATTATTGACTGACATGGGAAGAAAGTGTGAAGCCTGATAGAACAGCTTGCAATCTCTGACTCAGGCTAATGCTTAAACACTGTGTCTCTGGACAGATTATTAAACAGTTTTTGTTCCAAATATTTTATATCTCCTAGCTACTTCCTTGTTTGTTTCTTGTCAAAAAATTTTTAAACATAACAGCTTTATTGTGATACAATTCACATATGATAAAACTCACCCTTTTAAGGTGTACAGTTCAGTGGTATAGTATACTCAGTTGTGTAACCATTACCATTAATTTCAAAATGCTTTCATCACCTTCCAGAAGAGACTCTGTACCCATTAGCAATCACTTCTCATTCCTCGCTCCTATCCCTCCACCCACCAGCAACTACTAATTTTTATCTCTATGGATTTGCGTATTCTGGACATTTTCATTTAAGGAAGCAAACAAATTACAGGCTTTTGTGACTGGCTTCTGTCACTTAAAATTTTTCAAGGTTCATCCATGTTGCAGCATGTATCAGTAACTCATTCCATTTTATTTATCCGTGGACATTTGTTTCTACCTTTTGGCTGTTATGAATAATGTTGTGAACTTTCAAAGACAGGTTTCTTCTGTGTGCACATCTTCATTTCTGTATCATATATACCTATGCGAGGAGTCACTAGGTCCTTTGGTAATAACTCTTTTTAACTTTTTATGAAGTGCCACACTTTTCCCGAGTGACTGCACCAGTTACTTTTCCACAAGCAGTGTGTATGTAACCAACTCTCTTCATTTCCTTCCTGTTCACTTTTCAGCACCATGTAGTTTGGCATTAGATGTTACTATTCCTCCAAGACTGATATTTCCAATAGGGACTTTGGTAGATCCAGAAGTACTTTTTCAGGTTCTGTCATATCTGATTATTAGATTTCTCAGCAACACTGAAACATTTTTCCCTTGGCTTCTGAGTGCCTCTTCTCAGTCTCTTTTTGCTGGGAACTCCTTGTTCACTTAACTTCTATCTGTTAGAGTTCTTTAGAATTTGGTACTAGGTCCTTTCTCTTTTCTTTTCCCTTCATTCCTTTGCCTTATTACAAAAATTTTTTTTTCATTGAGTTAATTGTACAGTTGCACACAGTACTAGGAAATATTAGAGACACGTTGTACCCTTTGCCTAGTTTCCTTAGTGGTATGATTTTTGCAAAGCTGTATAGTATGAAACAGTGATATAGAGACAGGGATACAATATATAGTGCTTATGCAGATTTTCCCAGTTTTATGTATGACTCATGTATATCCCCAGTGGCTCAGAAGGTAAAGAATCTGCCTGCAATGTGAGAGACCTGGGCTTGATCCCTGCATTGGGAAGATTCCCTGGAGGAGGGCACTGGCAACCCACTCTAGGATTCCTGCCTGGACTGTGCCCGTGGACAGATGAGCTTGGTGGCTACAGTCTGTGGTGTCGAAAAGAGTTGGACATGACTGACTGACTTAAGCATAGCACAGCACATACATGCGTAGGGCTTCCCTGGTGGCTTAATGCTATAGATCTGCCTGCAATGATGGAGATGTGGGTTCAGTCCCTGGGTTGGGACGATCACCTGGAGGAGGGCATGGCAACCCACTCCAGTAGTCTTGCCTGGAGAATTCCCATGGACAGAGGAGCCTGATAGGCTACAGTTCACGGGGTTGCAAAGAGTTGGACATGACTGAAGCGACTTAGTGTGTGTGCATGCATATGTGTGTATTGAATTTTATGTTGAGTAGATTTGTGTATGCAACATGGCAGTCAGGGTACTGTACAGTTCCAACACCACACAGATCCTTTTGTTGCCCCTTAAAACTATACCCATTTTCCTCTCATGCCCCTCGTACCTTAACTCCTGGTAACCACTCATCTATCCTGCATTCCTAATATTTTGTCATTATAAAAAAAGTTACATAAATGAAATCTTAAAGTTTTGTATTGTAACCTTTGGGGATTAGCTGGTTTTTTGTTTTTTTACTCATAATTCCCTGGAGAGTCATCTAATTATCTGACTAATTTGTTCCTTTTATTGATAAGTAGTATTCCATGGCTGCACCGTGTACCACAGTTTGTTTAACCAGTAATCCACTAAAGGACCTCTAGACTGATTTCAGTGTTAAGAGTATTACAAATAAAGCTGCTATGAATACTTATATATAGTGTGTGTGTGTGTATGTGTGTGAATGAATGTGAATGTATTGTTCTTTGTCTGGGATTCATGTCTAGGAATGCAGTTGCTAGGTCATAGAATCCGATGGACAGAGGGACCTGGCAGGCTACAGTTCATAGGGTCACCCAGAGTCGGACACGACTGAGCAACATTGCACGCACGCACGTCATTGCATATTGAATTTTAAAAGAAACTACCACACTGTTTTCCAGAATGGCTTTACCGTTTTACATTCCTATCAAGAATGTGTGAGTGATCCGCTTTCTCTACATCCTTGCCAGCATTTGGTGATGTCATTTGTTTTTATTTTAACCATTCTGTTAGCTGTGCAGTGATGTCTCATTGTGGTTTTAACTCGCATTTCCCTAATGAATATTCCTCAGTGTTAAACATCTTTCATGTGCCTATTTGACAACTTTATGTGCTCTTCCAAGAGATACTTGTTCATGTCTTTTGCCAGTTTTCTAATTGGATTGTTCTTTTGTTGAATTCTGAAAGTTATTAAGATGCATTCTACACAGTAATCCTTTGGCTGCGTGGTTTTTTAGTTTCTTCTAGTATTTAGCTTAATTTTATCTTAACAGAATCTTTTGTAGAACAAAATATTTTAGCTTTGAAGTAAAATTATGCTTTTGGTATCAAGTCTAACAACTCTTTGCCTAGTCCTAGATCCCAAAGATTTTTCTTCTATTTTTGTTCCTCAAGGTTTTATAGTTTACATTTTACAGATATGTCTGTGAATCATTTTGAATTAATTTTTGTATAAGGTATGAGGTTTAGATCATAGATTTTTACCTAATGTCCAGTTGCTCTTGTGTGATTTGTTGAAGAAGCTCCATGGCTTTTAAAATACTTCTGTGTGCCAGTGACTCCTCGGCTTGTGTCTCACATCCCTGTGTCTTTGGTGTTTCCAGTATCCTTCGGCTTTGTTGACGCCTCTACTCAAATGTCTCTTACACAGGCCTTCAGGACAAAAACTTGAGCACATCTTGTTTTTCAGTCTCCCTTCCCCAGTCTTCCTTATCTCA